TATTTGTTAATTTTTTTAAATTTTGATATTTGATTCCAATCAACTAATAGAATGAACCCATACGATCATATAGATATCACAAAATGGTTTCTAACTTGTTCTGTTGCGGAGAAATAAGACGATTTTCAACAAGTAACTTTTCAAGGTTTTTGGTCCATAAAAGTGTCAATTATTATTCGATTTTCATAATATTTTCAGTGTGTGATACCTAATGCTGTTTACGATTTTATACAAGTAATTAAAGACTTTTATTATCACCGGAAGTAACGTCATTTTGGCAAAAACTGTATTTATTGACTTCAAAACAGATCTTTTATTCAAACGAGTCTGATTTGTAATGTTTTTAATATTAGGATATATGATTCCAATCAACAAATAGATTGAACCCATACAATCATACAGATACCACAAAATGGTTTCTAACTTGTACGGTTGCAGAGAAATAGACGATTTTCTACAAGTCACTTTTCAAGGTTTTTGGTCTATAAAAGTGGCAATTATTATTCGATTTACATAAAATTTTCACCATGTGATGCCTTATTCTATTCTGATTTCATAAAACCAATTTAACATTTTCATTACCACCGGAAGTAATGTAATTTTGTCAGGACCACTTACATGTAACAAATGTATACAATGAATTGATATTGCTGGATTTGGTTGATTCTGCGTACATTTTATTTGATGTGTGCAATGCTTATATGGAAACCTGTTTAATGGTTTCATTGGTACCGGAAGTGACATATGTTCAAGGGTAACGGGGTAACGGGGCACCGGTGAAACCCGTCATTACTGCATCGCAGTTCTAGTTTTATTTCATTTTCTTTGTTAAATAATCAATTTGAGTATATTTTTGCATGAATCAAGCCAAGGTTTTAAGTAATGACCATTTTTCAGTCTGTATTTCGAAGGAACTGGAAGAAAAATTTGATCTCATATTTTTCATCTCAGCCAATAATTGACCCAATTATCTATTATATCACTATACATGTATTTAAGCCTACTTTTAAATTGAAACATATTATTGATGACTAGTTTGTACAGCTCTTCTTTCAACTGACTGCTTAAATATGATTATTTTTCATGTAGACTAGTTTTGTCATATGCAGCTTAAAATAAATAACAATAAATGTCTGTAGTGGCTTTTATTATTATGACATTCATGTACATTATGAGTTTATTATCCAGTATCAATAGGACATTGCCAGTCATTATTGGAGGCTTCCTTGGTTTGTATCTATATTAAGTAAAGGATGCTGTGTAGAGTATTGATTTTTGGAAATCAAGATGCCTATATTATTGTCGGCAGTGAGTAGGTACATTAGGTTCCATAATATGTCATTCAGTACAAGCAGGTAAATCTAATACTGGGTCATCATTCACGTATGTATAATATATCTTCTTCCAAGACTGACATAGGCCGAAGATGTGTCTTGGATTTCCTTATGGTGTGTGAATATATGAAGAATCAATTCTAGTATAATCTTAAAAGATTTTTGTTGTTATTTTGACTCTAAGATTACTACAAATTTTAAAAAGTCAAACTTGTTCAGCAGTTGTTAAGAAAAATTAATTTCTATACCCTGCTACCTATGGGTTCCAGGTCAGTTGTATCTGCCGGTCATGCCAGTCTAATAAAAAATGACCAAAATTTCTCCTGACCCATCTATCAATTTACACACCACAAAATTAGCATGGCTATGAAAGACCTCTGCCATATACTTGTAACTTTAAAATTCCACGTTCTACAAAGTTTCTGTGCGTTATCAGAAATGACCGACTGTGAAAATTTTGAAGGGGAAGCCCTGTAGCTACCCTAACAATCACTATTAAACAAGGATCTATTGTCAGCAAGAAATTATGTTAAATTTGAACAAATGCCTGTCATTTTGATGTGCTTTTCTTTTCTGTTACATATGCAAATAAAGTAGAGAGTAGATACCCATAAATCACGGGTACATGTATAATCAAACATAACACCCGTAAAAACAACAAACTAATCAATGATGATTCATTTGTTGATGGCCTAATCCATGTCGATGATGACATAAAATGATGTAGTCGGTAATAAAGCAACAGATAAACTAGTGTATTACTTCCTGTGGTCAATTTCAAAGCAGTCAAGCCACGGTGGCTAAGTGAGTAAGGAGCTTGCAGGTTGGATGTTGGGGGAGAAAGTTCATCAGGATTTCGGGCGTGGTTTCTCCTTGTCAGGGGTGCAGGACCGAGGACCTGACAAAGACAGCTGTTTAGTCGTTCGAATGGAATGAAAAACCGAGGTCCTGTGTACACAATGGCATTATTCTGATCATTCTGCGCTTCGCTTATAAATATTATTATTATTGGTTGGGCCTGCGTGTCACCTGAAGGACCCACATGATCGCGGGCCTGTGCTAGGAAAATGTTTGTTTCGGACACTGATTGGCGTGCACATAAAAGATCCCCTGGCAGTTGGAATTCGGCAAAATTTCCCTCATAGCACACTGTATGACGTATGCTCATCTTCATTAGCCCAGTCGGAACAGAACAGTAGGATGTTAAACCGCCATTTCATTTCATTTCATTTCAAACAAAATGTCAGAAAGAACTTACGATGGGTCGCTTTAATTTCAATTGTTTCAACACCTTTTACATGTACATGTAGGCTACATTGATTTCACGACACCATAATTTCTTGTCTTGGGCTAACTATGGTCTCATGTGTTTCTTTGATAAAATAGAATAACAGCAAACTGACACAAGAAATAAGTGAAGAAAATGTTTACAAGAATTATGGAGGTCATTTAAATGTAGCTCTTTAAAGAAAAATATTTGATGCATATTAGAAATATTAGAAATACATCATTTTGCGTACAACATATTGACGTGGCATTTCTGTACGATATACTGTTTTTAACCATTATGTGACTTTAGGCTGTTCTGGACAGTTTTGCAAAGCATGGATACAACCTGCAGCGACAATGTTATCTCAACAGTTCTGTAGCTACATGTAAATTACAACCAATTTCATCCAGATTCAAATTACTTTATTCTGAGTGAAGTTATGACTGAAGATGTAGTGTAAATTGTTTATTAGCAACGGTACATGACAATCAAGACTAAGTTTCGATTATCCATTTTATCGTTAAAATTTTCAAATCTTGCAGGTTTTTAATCGATTTAAATTTTAAACATCTGACTTTCTAGCGAGTTGAATTTTTAGCTTGTTGTGTGAATAAATATCTACATGTAAATAAAAGTTTATAGAACATTTGAAGCCAAAATAACGTCACGACCTGCAATAGATCTTACATAATACATCTTTAAATTAAACTACAAGTCTTAACAATCCAGATTTTAATTATTACACTTACAGCGTATAAATGTACATGTAGATGGTGTCAAAAAAATTGTCAGACATTGTCTCCCGTTTTATACAGATTGACAGACTGTCCCTTTAATGAGATATTTTTATAAAAAAAAATATGTTTTTCTAACATAACAAAAGGTCAGACTCAAATTTCTTGTTTTCTTCATGTCAACATCAAAATATATCTACCGGGTAGATTAAAGAAAGTACATGTAGCTAAATATTCGGTCAACTTATTTAAAGCATATTATTAAATAATCGGTCAACAAAATATACACAAAAAGTACTGAATGAACTGCACAGAAATTAATGTACCACCTATTTGAACATACACAATAAATTAAATATCAAAGTATATCAAGCCTACACAGTACACAGTACTATTATGTGAGGTAATTCATTTTCCATATCCTATTCATTTCTGTTCAATGACCTTGTCTATCACAAGCCCTCAAATATCAAGTTGTATTAAAGTTGTTTTTTATCAATCATATGAAATTAAGGTGAACAAACTCGAGTACATTAAACTAAGGAAGGGACTGACCTAAATTTTCGACAAAAATTTACGAAAACTAACACATATGCAGTGAATACTGTATGTCGCATCAAATTTAATATTCACAAACTAGCAATATGTATATGCCTATAATACATGTATGTACATGTATCTTCGCTATCTTTATCAATTTATTCATAAATGTCTTGCTGCATCAACTTATATAATGTTCCGTTGTTGTTGACCAATATATATTTATGCTAGTAAACTTAAGACAAAAATGTTGAACACATAAATAGAATTTGTATTCATGAGCATATTTAGACAAGTGTACACCATGGATTCCCCTATAATTCCACACATTTTTTTGTTGCCACTTTTCCCAGCTACATGTACCGATAACTAAAAATTCAAATTAATGATGAAGATGCATCAGCAATATTACATGTAGTTTAGCAGGACACCCAATGTACACTACAGACACAACAAACAAGAGTTCATGCAGCTGAACCGTCAGTACTCAGCATTATAAAACACACCAATGCCATATTAACAGCCTTTTATGTGCAGGATAATTTTGTGATGTGAAAAGGTTAAGAAATGCAGTGTGGGGATCAATTAAACAATGAAATGAAATGTGGTTTTATTGTCCTCTGTTCTGCTCCGACTGGGCTAATGAAAAAAGGCATATGCCATGATACACAGTGAGCTAAGAAAAAGGAAATTTTGCTTGGACAGTGGCGCTATGGCCTACTCTGGTCCCATGTTCAATCCCTGTGCCGGCTGAGGAAGTTTATCAATGTGTACACGGGACCTCTGGTTTTTTTTTTATCCCATCTGAAAGATCATCATTGTCCCTTGCCAGGCCCCCTGTCCTGCACCACTGACAAGGAGGAGGAACCAAATTGGGAAATCCAGATGAACTTTCTCAGCCAACACCAGGATCAAAAACGGGACCTCTAGGTTAGTGAGCCAACGTCTTACTCACTGAGCCACCGTAGTTCCTCAATCAAACAATGACATGTATTAGTACATATCATGTAATTAAATATCTTTTGAATTTTGGAAAATGCTAAAGTACATCTGTAAACTCTTTATCAGGCAATGAACAAAGATCCTTGAAATATAGTTGTAAATATTAACTACTGTACTTACAGTATCGTTTCAATAAATGTTTTTTATAAGTGCCACCACCAGCATTACTCTGATGCTCTTCAGACGTATAGTACTCTTCACTTTCATTCGTATTTACATAATCATCACTATCTGCTGTTAAAATATCCTCATCTTGATGTGATTCGCGGGGAGGTCTTTTCTTTAATGACAAGTCTAAAACATAGACCGGTTCATCGTAGTATTCACTATCATCTGTATCATTCATGTTGACACAGAAAAACCTGTTCCAAATAATTGTCTTGATCAGCAACCTCGATCCAGATATTATATAATGTTTACCTTGTCATTTCCTTTCACTTTGTTCATATTTCATGCTGGCTTATTCTTAAATGTCAATATATCTATTCGGAAACTGGCACAACCAATATAAAGCAGCATGAAACGGATTCACAAAAGCAGTAATAACCTGAATAATAAAAGGTTAATTAAATGTTATTGATAAATGTAGTTTATTGCTGTTATCAATATACTAGCCTGTATTACAAAACAATTACATTATTATTAGATTGAGAGAGAGAGAGAGAGATGGGGTTTAACAGTCACTCCACACAAACTAGGTCATTTCAGGACTAGCATATCGTTGAATTTTATTTCAATAATTTGCTTGCGCGCAGGGGTCTTTAGCAGTTAGGGGAAACCAAAGAAAAAGAGAAAACGCACATGGTTGGACAAGTAACCCTACTCCTTGTACAACCAGGGAATCGAAACCACACCAGTTGACTCAATGACAAACCTTATGATATAATGTGCATGCGCTAACCATTCGGCCATCCAAACCCCCTTATTAGATTGTAATATGTTGTAATGACTTGCATTCCATCATCCATGTGCAGGGCTAATAATAATTTTTCCAAGGGGACCACTAATTATATAGCACTTGACGAAAACTTACAAAATAAAACAATTCAAATTCAATTTTGACTTAAAATTAATGTCTCACTTTCCATGTCATTGGTTTCATTGATTTTTTGGACAAACAAATAATTTTCTTATTCATTTGGGATAATTGTTAATATTCATAATCAAGCAGCGTCTTGTTTTTAGAAAAAAATGATAGGCCCTACCTATGTCATCCACAAGTCTTCTTATACATTTCAATAAACTTTCATAATAAACTACAGAATAATGAAGTGAACTTTTGTGAAACAAGATCTAATTGAAACAAATGCCATTAATAACAGCCATAAAATCTAATAATAATGGCAATCATTTTTAAAATTAGATCAACCAAAACTAATTGAACAACAAGCCTAGCTACACCAAGACATGAAATCATGAATATCACCAGTGTATTATTGAGCAGAGAACAGAAATTTCATGTTATCTTATAGCTAAAAATATTCAATATGTTATATAGCCTACAATATATACATACAACAAAATAAGGGCTTGGGCAGGTTATTATACAATGTACTACCAATGTCATTGACACGACCCCAAAAATACAGCTACAATTTTGATACAAGTTAGTTCCTGTCTATTTCCTAACTCTATAAATAGTCCACCACTGTAAACAACTCAAGCACTCAACAAAATTAGGCTAACTGATCTACTACATCTACCGAGATTTGTATCCCTAAACTTCTTGGTTCATTCAACTTGAGAAACGTACAGGATGCATCTTAAATAATGGTCTTAATCCATGAAATCTGGCTAAAACATGGTCCATTTTGAGGAAGTGGAAATGGTGTTAGATCTATGTCGGGATCGGTGCTTGTCTCGTCGATAAAAATAGGGTCATTCGTCGACTCGGCACTAACACAAGCGACAGCGTGAAATATTTCAAACAAGCACAAAAAAAAACAAATCAAGAAAATGATACACTACCCAAACAAATAATCCTTGCCTTCTGTGACAGAAATCAGTGTCCGCTAACCATTGCGTTTCTTGGTTTTTGTTGCTAATGTCTACTTCACAAACAGGTTATTCATAAAGCGGAGTGAATACCATCCCACTGTTGTAAAGCTCTATCACTAACCTAGTATGCTATAGTGCATTATAAAGTCACATGACCTGCGAGTCCCACACTGGTCCATGACATAGTTTTTCTGAGAGGCCATTATTATAGGCCTACGCGACGACTGCAGTTTCGTTTATTGTGTGGACCTGGATCCACTTTTCTATTGAAATAAATATTATAGAACATCGTGTTGTACACAACAGTTTCACCAGAAATTAATCACAATGTTTTAGAGGAAGATACAATCATAGCTGTTAAATTTTTAACCGTTTCGAATAAAATCTCAAAGAAATGAAAGACAATGATTTTATGTCTTTGGTTCGACTCTTTAATTATGTCACCTATCGTTACAACAAGGTGCTGGCGTCCTCGTCTTGTGTTGCGGACAGTTAGTTTAATACAGGAATCAACCGATCATGTCCTAATCACAACTTGACGGAGCTCGCTGCACACTAGCTGCGGTCTTGTTCTTGACGGACTTGATATAGAGGTATATATTCGCGCGGTAGCCTAATTGGCCCTTGCCAATTTGACGCGGTTTGACTAAACACTAATGAACAGCTTGTTGGTTTAATTAGGACTACATATTTTTAATATTATTAAAGTTAATTTAACGCAAATGTTAAAAACATTATTCTAAGTAGACCAGTCTTTTTCAATTTCGGTTAGATTAGAGTAAAATGGTCCCGATATCTCAAAAAGGGGATGAAGGCGACGAATTCCACGCCTAGGAAGCGTACATTAACACAATCCACACATACCATGGACCGGTGATGGTCAGATGAAGATGAAATGCACCGACTGGGATAATGAAGACGGTAGAGAAATGGGGTTTAGCGTCCATTAGCCACGAACTAGATCATATCGGCACTAATATATAGTTCAAATTTTATTTCAATAATTCGCTTGCGTGTAGGAGTCTTTAGCAGTTGGAAGTAACCGAAGTTCCCAGAGAAAACCCACGAGGTTGGACAGGCGACCCTACTCCTTGTCAAGTACAAGCGGGGAATCGAAACTACGCCACTTGATTCAATGACAGAGGCGCCCACCCCCACTAATGAAGACGAGTATACGCCAGGTATACGTACAAGGGAAATTTTTCCTGGGCAGCGGCGCTCCGACCTACACTTATTTCGAATTCCAAATGTCAAGGGCCTCGGTTTCCGTCCCATCCGAATGACCATATATATACTTTCCTTTGTCAAACACCCTATCCTACACCAATGACAAGTCGGAACCACACCAGAAATCAGTATGAAATTTCTCGGTCAACACCGTGATCTAACACGGGAACTAGGTTAGCGAGCCAACGCCTACTCACTGAGCCACCACGGCTCGCCAACTGAAGATGATGAATAACTATTTCGCTAAACTGACAACATGTTTTGCTTCCCCCCAAAAATTAAGTAAATCAATAAATATACAAAACAACATTTACAGATTTAACCACTGACAATATTATTTTTTAAAAAATAACAAATACCTGCTTCACAATATGTGAGAAGTATTTCTTTTGTATTGGTGTTCTAGATAATATTCTTGTTTGTCAAAAATTTGAACTTAAGAAATATGAAGTAAATGAAACGAAATGGGGTTGAATGCCCTACCTTTTTATTCACCAACCGGGCTAATGAACACGGCTAGTGTGCTGGGAGGGGAATTTTTGTCTGGCAACGGCGTTCCCGCTAACTATTTCAATTGCCACTGCAAACGGTGTTTGTCTCACACTGGAAAAGCCTGACCCGGACCCGAACTTCCTTAGTGCTAGTCAGCGCCCTACCCACTGCGCTACAATGGCTCCCGAAATATGAAATAGCACAAAGCACCAACCGGGCTAATGGACCTCGATTTTTAGACAAACCCGAACGACTAAACACAGTTCCGTCCGATACACACAATTAAATTATTAACCAATTATTACAATCTAGCAAAACTGAGTTTACCAGTTTACCAAAGTGTCACCATTTGCAGAGACAAGATCGCAATGTTCCTGAAGCAACGACTGCGAGTTTTACAACATCTGAATAATATGTACGGAAATGAAATGAAATGAAATGGGGTTTAACGTCCTACGGTTCTGCACCTAACCTGGGCTAATTGAAGACGGGCATACGCCATACAGTGTGCTATGAGGGAAATTTTGCCCGGGCAGCGGCGCTATACGGCCTACTATTATATCGAATTCCAACTGCCAAGGGATCTTTTACGTGCACGCCAATGTGTACACGGGTCCTCGGTTTTTCGTCCCATCCGAACGACTAGGCAGCCGCCTTGTCAGGCCCTCCGTTCTGCATCACTGACAAGGGGAAACCACGCCGGAAAATCGAGATGAACTTTCTCGGCCAATGCAGGGATCGAACACCCGACCTCCAGGCTAGCGAGCCAGCGCCTTAAAATTACCCACTTAGCCACGTGATCCCCTAATATATACGACACCAAGCTATTGAAGTTGCAAAATCGTAGGCCTTACAATTAGGCTACAATTCCTATATTACCCCACCCCTTATGTTTTGGCCTGATAGTGTTTGGATATTCAGTATTCAGTTTACACAGGCATCTTAAATATGATATTGTTCAAAATTACTCACATTTACTTTCTTGGTGCGATTGACAATGCTTTTATACCCTCGTCTTCATTAGCCCTAGTGGAACCGAGAAATAAGCTGTCTTCGTTCGCGTGTAAAACAGAAGGTTATTAACTGCCATTTCATTTCGTCTCCTCAAACAATACGAAAAATGAGATTTTATATGTCTGTCTTCATTAGCCCGAGTGGAGCAGAAACGTAGAAGGTTAAACGCCATTTCATTTCGTCTCCATAAATAATATGAAAAATGAGATTTTAGTTAGGTTTTTGATGAATGGTGTAAAAGAAAAATGTATGCTGATCATCAAAATCAACAACACGTATAGAAAATACGTACAGAACAGTGAACAACAATATCCTGTACTGTATTAGCACATGAACATGAATAACACCGGATACGTATATATACGTGAATACTTACTATTATTATTTATCGGAAGCTACAGAATCTGTTAAACGGGATATATAAGAAATAAAGAGGTCACGCAGTATACCCGGAACTCCATAAAATGTCAGCTTACATCAAATATACCATGTTGACAAAACGATAAATCTACTGACGGTTTTTTATGGTTTCGGATAAGGAAAACGACGCTTACATAAATATAGAGCATATTATATTATTCACACAATGATTACAGTTTAGACATAAAACAAGTAAAATATAACAGAATCAAAATATATTGTAAATCAGGATCAAATGTGGATATTATGATTTAGTTTTTTTCAACAAGATGTATTACAATTGCTTGCCACATTATTAAATATCTTGATTTTTTTTTAAAGGGTAGAGGAGGAGTCGAATGGCACATATACTATAGCAGGATACCCGGCTTCGCCCGGGACCCAAATTCGCATGAGGACAAAATTCACCAGGGGCCCAAATTCACCCGGACCACAAATTCGATGGCCTAAATTATTCACTGGGGTGGAGCACGCAGCGTATAATGGGCGTACATACAATACACACTTTTCGATCCCAAGCTTGCAAATCACAAGCCTGCCCAACCTCGTTGGTTTTCTCCGGTTCCTCTGTTTTCCCCTTACTGTTAAAGACCCCTAAGCGGATCCCTCTCCCACCTTCAACTTAAACCATTACTCAGATAATAAACATTTGAGACAGGATAATGCGTCATCTGACAAGATATTACATTGACGTGCTTTAAAAAAACATCTGACAAGATATTATTTTGACGTGCCTTAAAAAACAAAGAAATATAATTCATATTTTTCTTCTTTTTTTTTCGCTTAAAATTATTTTCATCACATCTTATTATATAATGGATATTTTAATAAGGAGGAAATATGAGCCTCAGACCCAACACAGATAAAAATAGGTCAGTCTCATTTCATCCTGACATTAAGACTTATAATTGCTATTAACGGCACTATTATTACATACTAAGTCTTGCCCAATACTTCATTAATGATTATAGCCCTATTAATATTTTGACGTTCTAACTCATGACATCAACTGCCAAGATAGGTCGCATTACTTTTATTATTTCTTGTCCTTTGTATTTCCTTTCTTTATAATGCGATCAATCATATCTCTATTTAGGTAAGATGGGATAGACAATTAGACCTATATGCCAGGCTCGTACCCCCCCCCCCCTCCTCTTCCACCCCCAAACACCAATACACACAAATGTCAATCGCATAATTTTTAAGTGGCATTTATTGATTGGGGTACACATTAACAGAACACAATTTTTATGGGAAACAATCACTGGTTTTATTCTAATTTCACGACGTTTCGACAAGTATCCTCTTATACTTGTGCTTGATAACGATAAGAGGATACTTGTCGAAACGTCGTGCTATTAGAATACAACCAGTGATTGTTTCCCATAAAGATTGTGTTCTGTTGTTGTCAATCGCATAAAATAAAGTGAATGTATAAGGCTTGTTCCGAGTTCCGAGTGGTGCCTATCAGCCCATTTCATTGGAAAAGTCTTGGATTGGAATTCGATATAAGAATTGTGAATTAGAAATTTAATGTTAAAATGATCTTCTCGAAAACCGTGTTCTCATAAAAGGAATTGTTTGATATCTGTTCAAATGAGCGTTTCGAATTCTGCTAGTTCAAATGATCGATGGATCATAACTGTCGGCCTTTCATTCGGTTAAAACGTCCGGCAGCTGTCCTTCCTGATATATCTATAAGTATTTC